CATAAACACATGCAACACCTAAACTAGTCTACCAGACTAACAATTTACTATCGTACGTCAGACCTCACATAGTACTCTACATCACCATTATTAGGCCACTATTGAATGCATAGCCATATGTAATCAAAGGTGAGACAGACAGTCAAATAAGCGATCCCACTCTAGAGCCACAACCAAACAACGGACATGCAAGAAAACCTAGATCAAGAGTTCTTAGTTTATCCTACATGACTGCATATAACCCCCAATTCACTCAATTAGACAATCACCGACCTTCAGGTACTCTAACCAACATACCACAAACATTATATCAATATAACAACTATGGGTTATCCGCAACCTTGGGATTATCAACAGTCATCGAGTTATCAGTAACTCAGTAACTAACAACCAGCAACAACTAAGACTCATCTATTCTAGCTTGCCCCTAATATGAAATAGGTAATATAGTGAGAAAGATCACTTGAATCAAGGAACCAAAGAAACACAACAAGACCCTCATTCCTTGCACCGATCGCTCCCGCCAACCGACTAGCACCAAATAAAGGTAGAACCTTACTCAATCACCCAATTCCTTCAATTTTAACCCAAAGTCAAAATGGTTAAAACTCAATGGTCAACGGTCAACAAAATTCAATGGTTAAGCCCCCAACACAATGTGGGAACATCTGGAAAAAACAGTCGTGAGATCCTCTTACGCCACGATGTGACAGGCATATCGTCACGTTGTGGGAACTGATTATGGATGGCTTAATGGATTAACCCTTTAATCTCTTAAGCCACAGACTAATCCCCTCCAATAGGCTTCCTTACACCCAAAGAGTTAGAAAGATTATTGCTTTATAGTCGTGCATGTCCAATGCATGTCTTTCCCCAAGCTAAGTCATAACAATGGTGGAAATTAGATCAAAAATCTCATGCATGAGCCAAAAACCAACCAAATCTCAGATCTAAAACATTAAACCTCAAAGGGACCTCAAGGATCCTTAAAGTTGCCAAATTTATGGAATCCAACCACTCAAACTCACCCAAACATGGAAAAAATGTAAAAAAAATTATAAAAAAAAAGAGTCTAGATTTAGAAGCATCAAACATAAAGCTTGGAACTTGAACACTCACAATGGTCCAAAGTAAGTGCTAGAAGATGATGATGAAACTTGAAAGTTGGATCTATACACCAAGGATGTTTCATTCTCCTTCAAGACACTAAAAACACCACCGAAAGCTCAATAAATCAACAATGGAGGCTAGAGTTTTGTTGAAAAGGTTGAAGGCTGAGGAGGATGCCCTATTAAAGGCTTAAATATACAAGAAACCCTAAAAGATCATGGGCTTCGGATGCAGCTGTTGTTACGTCGTGACATTCCTCTCGTCACGTCGTAACGGCCATCCTGGATGCACATTCAAGAATTTGGCATGCCACATTGTGTTGCTCCAACCACCATATCGTGGTATGAGGTTTTTCCCAAAAATATTTCTTTTGATCATTCTAAACCCTCAACCGATTTATCTTGGAAAACGAGTGTTACACATTTTTTTTTCATATTGTTTCACAGTCACTTGTGTGTAAGTTGTTGAGGTTGTTGTAAATTCCGTTGAATTCGGTAATTTCAACCTTATATCACGCTAATTCGAAGAAATTTGGTCGGGATTTTGTTTTTCATTTCCCATTAGATTGAAGGAGATAATTTGAACTTTTCCCAAACTATTTGTCATTTGAGTATCTCTGACGATGGGGTCTTGGGAAACCGAAATCCACGCTAGTGCTAAATTTAATTTTTCATCCTTTCAACTCACCCTTTATTCGGTCGGAGCAGTTTGAGTTTTCTTGCCTTTCTTTTTTGATGGCCGTGGTTACTCTAGCTTTGTTTCCGCTACAAAATAGAGAGAATCTGGTTGTGAAGGGTGTGCTTGTGAATGATTTGGTTGTGAAGGTTATGGTCAATAAGGTTGTTGGAATACAAAAGATTGAAAAGTTTGTTGATAGGGTTGGAAATGTTAGAATTGTTGTTGAAGAAATGTCGTTGGGATAGCGGATTTGCTTTGGATTAATTTACAAAATCCATCGTGGGGTGATTTTATGTTCGGATATTAACGAGGTTTTGTGTTTTGCCCAAACAAATTGTCAAAATTAGGCTTTGGATTTGTTGGTGGAGTGTTTGGATTTTGATATGGGATGAAGTGTTTGACTTTTGGCAATATGTGTGTCTATGTGTGTGCATAAAGTAAAGGGAGAGAATAATAAATTGTGTGAAAAAAATAAGGTAGTTTACTTTTGTATTTATTAGGGTAATGTGTTAAATTGTGAATGATTTTTCTTATTTTAAAATTAAAACCTTTTACAATGATTGGAATATGATCAAAAAAATAGTTAGCAAAATGATCTCATTGGCTGTTCTCCATTGTGGCGGTGACTATATTCACAATACCAGAACCACCATGTCACACACGGGATGGGGTGCAAGGTCGTGACGAGTTGTTACCATCTTTAAGATTGCATTTCATAAAAGTTTTAGATACAAACGAAACATTTATATTGGGACACAAATTTGACAACATTGACGCATTGACAAATGTTTATTTATACAAACAGAGAGTTTCAATTTTTAACGAATTATTTTTTTTATTTATAAAATATAATTAATTTAAAAGAAAACAAAACAAGCTTTCTAGGCAATTAGAACATTGTATCCTTTATTTTGCGATATTTTGGTAAAACAATAATATTTTATGAAAAATAAATAGGTCGTGAACTATTTATCACAAAACCCAAAGCCTATCACGAATAAAAACTTAATTTATTTGCAAATATGATATTTCAACATCCTTGAACTGATGTAATTTTATTACAAATCAATTTTCAAAATTATATAAAATACATTCATATACCAACTCTTAACATTTTTCTCGTTCATCATCTTTACAAATATCACTTTGTCCTTTATATTATATTATATTATATTATATTATATATATATATATATATATATATATATATATATATATATATATATATATATATATATATATATATATTAGTTGTGAGACTCGTATTTTATACGGGTTGGATAAAACAAAACAAAATTTTAATATGAAGTTTTAAACAAAAATTTATTTAAATTTGAAATTTAAAAGGAAACATATTAAATACTATATGAGTTGTAATATTGTAATTTATTAGTTATTTTCAATTAAAGCAATTATTAATTAAGGTGTAAATATGATGTGTTAATTAAAAAAGATAAAAAAAAATAAGAAAATGACATGAAAAAAATATTTATTCAATATATCCACAAAATGACAAGTATCAAAACTTATAAAAATTTGACATGTGGAAAAAAAAACCTTCATTTATTAAGGAGGAATATATATATATATATATATATATATATATATATATATATATATATATATATATATATATATATATATATATATATATATATATATGGGAAAAGTGAATATACCCTTAAGGGTATATAAGCTTAGGTACCCAAACTCACCATACTACATCGTTTTGTATCATATATAGACATTGTAATTATCCAATGTTCTTATAATTCAACTTCTAAATTGAATTACTTCAAAGATTTTTATAAATTTCATATTTATCTTCCTCTTACATAATTGTCATTTTCAACAATAATATACATAGCCTAGTAAGTGTTCGACAAAAAGATATGATGTAAAAAGAAGATAATAGTGAAAATTTAAAAATATTGAATATAAATCAAGTTAAGGATTGAAGTTTAACAATATTATAATAAATATATCAAACAAAACGACGTATTATTATGAGTTTGGGTACCTAAGCTTATATACCCTTAAGGGTATATTCACTTTTCCCTATATATATATATATATATATATATATATATATATATATATATATATATATATATATATATATATATATATATATATATATATATATATATATATATATATATATATATATATATAAAGTACTGAACTGAAAGATGGACAACCTGTAAAATACCTTAATTCGTATTCGAGTTTACTTTTATTTTAGTTTTATAATATTTGATTTCCATAAAAAGTCTTCTACAAAATAATAAAATTTCCATTTTGTCCGTCCCTTCATGTGTGGTCACATATTCTTTGTATGTTAAGTATTAAACTTCTTGTATTACAATTCACCAAAATTAGGTTATATTAAAAGTAGCTAATACTCAATGTCATAGTAGGTCTAGAAATATACTCACTTCAACAACAATTTTCCATTTCGTTGATACTAAGATTTCCTTTTAAATATAAAAAAAATAAATGCTTACACTGTGAAATACAATTGATCAAGATCTGGTCGTATCAATATGTTTCTCTTTTTATAAATTTCTATCCGGCTTTGATTATAAGTATCATAAATTTTATATAGTATAGCTTTTAACCATATATAATATTGTGTAAGAGTGGATATGGTGAATAACTCTCGTTATGTTGTTATCTCTAAACCACGAGTGATACACTTAGTGTTTACTTTTGGTTTTTATAATTAATAGAGTTTAATGGGGTTGAATATATTTTGGCATTCTTCAGTCTAAAATTAATGAATACAGTGATATTTTTGTTTCTTTGTTTTTATCTTACATATAATAATTCATTCATGTTTTATCTTATTGTACAACGCAATTCACAAAATCTTGATGAAAAAGTGTTTTGTTTCCACTATTGTTACCAAAAGCTTGAATCATATAGTACATTTCTTCTATGCAATTTCAAATTTAAATAAATAGTGACCACAACCAACCTACTACAAAAACAGGAAACACCTCTTTTTGGTAGGGTCTCAACAAGCCCTAAAAATCCTTAAATCGACACACACGTAGTACATAGTATGTATGGTGTCCTTTCTTACCATTACACACACAGTCGGTGTGTGTTTCTATGTGAGAGAAAACCAACAACGAAAGAGAAAGAGAAAGAGAACCCAATCTTTTTTCGTATTTACGCTTTGGTAAACCCACACTAAAACCTCTTACATGGCATCTGTTCATCTGCTTCTTCTTTCTAACCTGTTCTTCATTTTTTGTTTATTTTTTCAATCAAGATCTTCACTTACATCAAAAAATGCCATTTTACCACTCAAGATTAAATCAGATTCATCTAGCATCTACATACAACCGCCAAAGAAGCTCCCTTTTCAACATAATGTTTCTCTCACCGTCACCCTCGCCGTCGGCTCACCTCCACAGCCGGTTACCATGGTCCTCGACACCGGCAGCGAGCTTTCATGGTTTCACTGTAATAAAACACCAACCACACCTTTGTCGTACGACCCATTACATTCCAAATCCTACACCCCTGTTCCCTGTAGCTCCCCAATTTGCATGACCCGAACCCGAGACTTCACTGTCCCCGCTTCTTGCGACGCGAAAAAACTTTGCCACGCTACTCTCTCCTACGCCGACGCCACTTCCGTCGACGGCAATCTCGCCTACGATACCTTCCACTTCACGGATTCGGACCTTCCCGGAGTAATATTCGGTTGCATGGATATGGAATCAAGCTCTAACCAAGATGAGGATTCGAAAACAACCGGGCTAATGGGTATGAACCGGGGGGTCGTTATCTTTTGTGACCCAAATTGGGTTCCCAAAGTTCTCGTATTGCATATCGGGTCAGGATTCCACCGGCGTATTACTGTTCGGAGAATATAATGTCTCTCTGCTCCGGCGGCCGTTAACTTACACATCCATGGTTAAAATGTCAACGCCGTTACCGTATTACGACCGGGTGGCATACACGGTTCAGCTTGAAGGAATCAAGGTTGCGGGTACGGTTCTACCCTTGCCGAAATCCATATTCGTACCCGACCACACCGGAGCCGGTCAAACCATGATTGATACGGGTACCCAGTTCACTTTTCTTCTTGGACCTGTTTACACTGCTCTGAAAAACGAGTTCTTGAAACAAACCAAGAATGTATTACGGGTGTATGAGGATCCGAACTTCGCGTTTCAAGGTGCAATGGACCTTTGTTACCGGGTTGAACGGAGTCGAGTCGGGTTACCCGTGTTACCTAGTGTGAGCATGATGTTTCGGGGCGCCGAAATGGTTATTTCGGGTCAGAAGCTCCTGTTTAAAGTGGCGGGTGTAACCAAGGGTGGTGATGACATACATTGCTTTACGTTTGGGAATTCAGATTTGTTAGGAATTGAAGCATACATCATTGGACATCACCATCAACAAAATATGTGGATGGAATTTGATCTTGCAAACAATCGGGTCGGGTTTGGTGAGGTTAGCTGTGATTGTGTAAGTCAAAAGCTTGGAATTGACTTGTAAAAGGACTTGATATGGCTTCTCTCAACCGTTGGATCATAGTGTCGCTCTCATGATCATCTTATACATTTACTCCTTGATTGATGTTCCGTTGATATGGATTCATTTGAGTTCCTTGTTCCACATAATGTAGCTAAACTAACTCTCTTAAAACGACAAAATGTAGACAAGTACACAAAAAATGATATAAAACACACAAATTAAAGTAAATAAACAACACGTTTTATTTCAAATTTGAAATTTCTCTTGAAAATAAATCTGGCTATGGTGAGTTAGATGGTTTAGGTGGGTAGGAGGGTTTAGCCCAGATGTTGGGTTTGGGTGAGGAGTGAGGAGTGAGGACTGAGGACTGAGGAGGGGGACCAAACAACTAAATATCTTCTCTTCTTCTGACAAAATTCGCTTCACTTAAATTTTGTATCCACAGTCCACTGACTTGTATGTTGTTTTGAGTTGTTTTCACACGTGATCGACTTCATTTAATTGATATAAAATACTTTACACGCATACCAGACTTATTGGTATGTGTATTTTTACATTTGGTTCTCGTAAAACAGAACCACACTGTATATATTGTCTTTGTTATCTTGATTGGGTTCCTATAAAATGGGGTTTGGAAGTGAATGGCGTGGATGGGTCTCCATAGCGTTAGAATCTTTCGTCCTAAGGTTGTTTGATATGATTTAAATTTTTAAGATTAAAATGTCTGAATTTGTAAAATAATTTTTAGGGTTGTTTGATAAGATCTAAATTTTTATGATCTAGATTTCTAAAAGAACCTGAATTTTTAAAATGTTGTTTATTTGAAACCTCGAATTGTTGTATTCAATTATAAAAATAATCATTTTACCATTTTATCTTAGATTTTGTTGAATTTAATATTTTTGTTTATAAAATAACCGAATAAACTCTTTAAACAGGGCCGCATTAGAGGTTATGGCAACATGAGCGATGGCTCGGTGTCTCCAAATTTTCGGGGTCATTTTTATGTATTTACTTATATTATTTAAAAAAAAAAAAAAAAAAAAAAACTTTTGGTATTGAGTCGTTGTAGAGGCAAAAAGCGTCTCATTTTTTTATTCTTTCTGGGACCTCAAATCGACTTGAGTCGGTCCTGTCCTTGAATAATTATAAAAAAATAGAAACACCAGACAAAATAGAAATTTTAAAATACAATGCACTAATAGGAAGAGGTAAAAGTATGATACTATAATAAAGAATTCAATATAAATATGTTGTTATTTCATGTATTTAACTCTTACAAAAACAAGCTTCCAGTAACTATGAAAACATGCTTAAATGTATGCTTATATGGATCACATTACATGTATGCAACTTGATTCACTTAAACATCATAACAAGTACAAATGGTTTCTTGAAAAAAAAACAACCAAAATAGTTATTAAAAATGCTTTCTTAAAAAAAAAAACTTTCTCATGTGAAATTCCAAGAGAAAGCCAAAATACCCCTTGAAAATTTTCTTGCACCCAACCTTCAAACCATTAAACCAACTCCCTTTTTCCTCACGCCATCCAAAGTCTCGATGCTTCATGAAATCTAGAACAATTCAGTCGCACTTGATAATAACAAAGAAAAGACCATTATCCCCTTTGTTTTTATTTTTGCACCAAGTCATCTAATATCTTTTATCTTCAATTAAATAAATCCTCTTAAAGAGTAATAAAACACATTAATCTCTATGGCTTAACATGTTTATATGACTACAACTAATAGAAAGACATAATCATGTTTCCTAATTTTACCAATGTAAACAACACTCGTATTTTAGACTATTTGATGATGTTAGTGTTAGAAATTGGTGATGAAAAGAATTGCTTGGATTCTTTGAAAATCATGAAACGCTATCAAATTGAAGTATTTTGATGGTACAAAGTCGAACACTCAATTAGATAAAATTCAAAGTTTTCAGAAGAGAGAATGTTGGTAAAATTGTTCTTCAAGTGTACCGGAAAATGACCAAAAATAGGTATATGATTTTCTTATCTGAAATTGTCACATGACAGTTTTAAATTATCATTAAAAAAACTAATTTTAGGATAAGGGTCAAATGAGTCGCTTTTCCAAAAACTGGATTTCTGATGCAATTTTTTATATAGCAACATAACCCAAATAAAAAAAATTCCGCGTAGCTCGACACCAGCCAGGGGTTGTCGCCACTTGGACCCCGCTCCCAGTGGCACTGCCCTACAGACTCCGTTCGTTCAGGGGATTTGCCCTTAAATGACAGTCTACTTTGAATCTTAAACAAACTTAAACAAATGTGTACTTTGCACCTCCCTTACTTGTTTAATATTTGTCAAGATTATATTTGATCAACAAATTAATCTATTACACTTAAATATACATTGGTGATACAAATCACCAAAAAACCTCCCCCATTTAAGTGTAATCTTGATTAACTTTAAAAACAAAACATAAAAACAACAAACATGTGCATAAATGAAATGTCGTGACGATTGAATTTCACATTAGTATATTATTCATTCCAAATATTTGAATATTATGGTGTAAGGATTAAACCCTTTCTATTCATAGTGTGTAACACTAAATTTTTCAAACAAAATTTTCGATTTTTATAAAACATAATTCCATCAATATTCATAGAAACAACCCCTTTTAATTGTTCAACAAAATAGTATAAAATCCCAAGATCAACATGTCAAGCTCCAAACGTGTGTGTACGGATCAAGCCGGCGCCTTCCCACGGTCGTCACTAGTACCTGAAACAAATAACATCAACACTGTAAGCACAAGGCTTAGTGAGTTTCCCAAAATACCGCATATAACACATATTAGCCACTCGAGGCTATAACTCTGTGGGTCCGTGCACCCAAACTCTGTGAACCCTCAGGTTCTAACTCTGTGAACCTTCCGGTTCTAATTCTGTAAACATGCACAGCATCAAACACATGAAAGTAATGTAGTACAACACATAACATACATAGCATACAAATACTCTATCACATAACTCTGGTTACCTACTCAAGGTAAAGTATAGTGAGAAGACTCACCTCGTGTGTCTCGGTAAACCGTAACCCTGAAATCGCTAAACACTCGATCTGCCGAGCTGAAGTCCCCCTATAGCACAATATATCTCTAATTAACACTTTCCCAACTAGGGTTGACCATACCATAACAGGACAATCTAGGTCAACGCTGGTCAACGGTCAACTTGACCGGACTCGGCGAGTGCACTATAGCGACTCGGCGAGTCTGAGCGCATTCACCAATTTCCCTGGAATCCTCTCTTGACACGTCGAGCATCCCCTCCCAACTCGACGAGCTCCACCTGGCACGAGTTGTGGGGCCACCACGACTCAACTCGCCGAGTCTCAAGAACAACTCGGCGAGTCCGGTTTGACTCGGTCCACCTGTCCATCCTGACTCCCCCTTGACCCACTGAGTTCACTCATCCCAACTCGGCGAGGCCACTCGCTGAGTGGTCGTGCAGCATTCAAGCTACTCGCCGAGTCTGTTCTTCGGACTCGGCGAGTCAGAGCCATGCACTGACTCAATCTTGCTCTAAAGGCCAGATCCAGTCCACTAATCCATAGATCCAGTCCCCCATGCTTATTTAGCACGTAAAGTCACAATCTTGATGCATAAATAACCTCTACATGATCACAAATGATGTTTTTGACCAATACTTCAACACAAGGCCAAGGACTCCATTTCCACCATAAAGCTTGATGAGTGAGGCCCTCTGGACCTCTATGGATCCAGATCCATGGTCTCAACTCAAAGAGGGAACCAAAGGGCACCAAATCACCCCATAAATGATCATATTAAGCCCTAACTTGCATCAAGTTTCACCAAACAGAAAATGGTCCGAAATAATACCTCTAAAGTGATGATCCAAGCTCCAAATCCACGAAATAGCAACCTCCTTTGCCTCCTCTTGCCTAGAGCCTCCTTCTTCTTGCTAAACAACACTCACAAGGTCAAGATTTGCTCTCAATCCTTCACCAAACGCTCAAGAACTCTAGGGACACACTCTGGGGGTTGGATGAGCGCAAATGACGGCCATAAGGCCCCTTAAATAGGCCACAAACCCGGAGATTTAGGGTTTCATAACACAGCGCAGACTCGCCGAGTCCATACCCTGGACTCGCCGAGTCCAAGTGCGCACCCTCGATCAATCCCGCGTCCCTACTCGGCGAGTCTGAGCCCCGACTCGCCGAGTCCCTCTCACAATATAACACAATTAAACTTACATTATACCTGGTAAAATCCGGATGTTACAACTCTCCCCCACTAGAACTGGACTTCGCCCTCGAAGTCCCGCTCTAAAACAGCTCCGGATGCTGCTCCCGCATCATACCCTCCGGCTCCCAGGTCATCTCTGATCCCTTCCGATGTTGCCACTGAACCAATACCAGAGGTACCTCCTTGTTCCTCAAAACTTTGATCTTCCGATCCCTAATAGCCACTGGTCTCTCCGCATAATTCAGGCTCGCATCAACCTGAATATCCTCAAGTGGAACCACTGCCGACTCATCGGCTATACATTTCCTCAACTGCGATACATGAAAAGTGTTGTGAATCTGTCCCAACTCTGCTGGTAACTCCAGCCGATAGGCTACCCGGCCTACCCTGGCGATCACACGAAACGGGCCAATAAACCGGGGTCCCAATTTGCCCCTCTTCCTGAACCGGATCACTCCTTTCCAAGGAGAGACCTTCAGGAGAACAAAGTCGCCGACCTGAAATTCCAACTCGGACCGGCGCCTATCCGCGTAACTCTTCTGCGGCTCTGAGCGGTCAATAACCTCTGCCTGACCAGCTGTATCTGCTCTGTCGTCTGATTCACGATCTCTGTACTGCCCATTACCCTTTGCCCAACCTCTCCCCAACATATGGGAGTCCGACACCTCCTACCATATAACAGCTCAAAGGGCGGCATACCAATGCTCGAATGATAGCTGTTATTGTAGGAAAACTCCGCTAGAGGCAAATACGAGTCCCAACTACCCCCAAAATCC